TCTGTAGACCAGGCTGGCCTCCAACATAGAGATCCTCCGCCTCCCGAGTGCTGGGACTAAAGGTGTCTGCCTGGGAAATAATACTAATCTTAATTTTAGAGAAACTACATAGGAGGATATTATCTCTCATTAACCATGCTTTTGTTGTAATTACTTGCTTACCTAGGCATTCTGTCCTTAAACCAACTCTCCATGCTTAAGAATAATAAAAAAATAGGGCTGGGGAGACCGATCTGCAGTTAAGAGGCACTTGCTGCTCCTGAAGAATACCCAGGTTCAATTTCCAGCTCCCACATGGCAGGGACTCTGGTGCCCTTTTCTGACCTCCACAGGCACCAGGCACTGATGTGGTGTCCATACATACATGGCAGGCAAAACACCCATACAACATAAAATGTAAGTAAATATTTAAAAATATTATTAAAAGTCAATACTTTCATAAAATAATTCTTTTATTTTCAGTATAACATTCAGTTTTTTTTTGTTTGTTTTGTTTTTCGAGACAGGGTTTCTCTGTGTAGCTTTGAGCCTTTCCTGGAACTCACTTGGTAGCCCAGGCTGGCCTCGAACTCACAGAGATCCGCCTGGCTGTGTCTCCCGAGTGCTGGGATTAAAGGCGTGCGCCACCACCGCCTGGCGAACATTCAGTTTTTAAACTGTCAAGTACTTATTTAAATCTTTCAAAAAGAACTTTATTTGGGAGGCTAACTATATTTGAAATACAAATTCTTGGAAATCTAAATGATAAAACATCTTCCTACTAATAAAAGAAGGGGGAAAAAAAGTAACTGAGTCCCGCCTAGGATTATTATGATCCTATTCCTGTTAAACATCTTAAGATACAGCTGTTTGTGGGGAGGTGATGACACATGCCTTTAATCCCAGCATTTGGGAGGCAGAGGAAGGTGGATCTCTGAGTTCCAGGACAGCCAAGGCTACAGCAGAGAAACCCTGTTTCAAATAAAAAAAGGAAGGAAGGAAGGAAGGAAGGAAGGAAGGAAGGAAGGACAGCAAAGAACATACAGTTGGTCCCAACAGTCCACACCTGAGTCACAACATCTGTGAGGCAGAGGCAGGAGGATCAAGAATGCAAGAGAAAGCTGGAAGTGGTGGTGCACACCTTTAATCCCAGCACTTGGGAGGCAGAGGCAGGCGGATCTTTGTGAGTTTGAGGCCAGCCTGGTCTACAGAGCTAGTTCCAGGACAGCCAGGGCTATACAGTCTCAAAAATAAATAAATAAATAAATTCTTAAAAAATGCAAGACAAGTCTCTGCAGAGCAAGTTTGAGGCCTGCCTGGACTCCAAAAGATCTTATCTTAAAAATTAAAGAGGGGCTGGAGAGATAGGTTAGTGGTTATCAACATTTGGTTGCTCTTTCAGAGGACCTGGGTTCCAATCCTACCGCCCACATGGCGACTCACAACCTAACTGTAGCTCCATACATTCAGTCAGACATACACATAGCCAAAACACCCATATACATAGAATGAAATAAAAATAATGATAAACCAAACAATGAAAAATGGCCAGCAAGATGGCTTAATGGATTAAGACACCGACTTAAGGGTCACTCATGCTTATTAAACATAAAGGGAAAGTAGAAATCGCTGTTTTGTTTTCAATGTAGACAATTACTAAAAGACTAGATACCACCATTACATAAAAGGTACCACTACTGCTTAATAAACCTGAACAGTATATCCCTACATGACGTATTTTTCATACATTTCTTTAGTAAAACAGCCTTTTAGATGAAGCATTGGTGCTATATTGAGGAGGACAAATATATATATGCTCTAATCCACACATTATTGTGCACCCTGTAATCCTGTCAGATCATTGGGCACAAATATTTCTTCCTTCACCTTCAGTCAGCTGACAGAGGGGTTGAGTCTTGCGGAAACGAGTTTGGGGTAGGCTGAATGGGACAGGGAGCATTTCCCCAATTTCTCAATGCAGAAGAAAAATCCAGTTAGTTATTAGACATATAAGTTAAATTTGTCCTTCCAGCTTCCTTATCCTTAACAAACGGACCTCCTAAGCTTCCGTTTGTCTGCAGGTGACGGCTGGTCTGAGAAAGCAAAAAGTATTGCCGAACGGGTCTTTTCACATTACATTAGCTTCGCAATGTGTATACGTCCTGGGAACCATAGTCCGCAGGAGCGTGTGTCCCGTCGGTCCACGGAACCCGTGACCCGGATGTACTACTGTCCGCAAACTCCGCCCAGAAGCCGTGCGTATCCACCGGAAAGTATCGCTTTTCGCGTGCGTCCCGGAAGCGGAAGGAAGTCCGTGTCTTTTCTCCGTCCCGTACGTTTGTCCCGCGTCGTTCCTGCTGGGCCGGAGCGGTTTGTCGAGGCGGTTCGCAGCGTGTGGAAGAGTGGAACCCTGAGTTTCCGCAGCATCGGCCGCCATGGCGGATGTGACTGCCCGCAGTCTGCAGTACGAGTACAAGGCGGTGCGTGAAGACGCGGAGGAGGGCTGCGGGCGAGGGAGGCCGTGGATAGCCACAAACTCGGGGGGGAAAGCAGATCTGGGTGAAGGCTGGATTAAAACACGGCGGAATAACCCCAGTGGAGTTTTAGGTCCCCCCCCCCCCAGTCTTCTTAGCGCTAAACCCGTCCCTTCTTCTCGTTATCCCCAATCTGCTCAACACTTTACCTAGATGTGAGTTATTATGGATACTGTTAGGAACGTTGATCGTTCACTTTACCAGTCCAGTGCTTGCACATAGCGTTATATGATGCTATTTCTTCTTAAGGGGAATTATTCTTTTATTCCAGTATTTTTCCATCTTCTGGTGTCACTGTGGTAACAAAAATCGAAACTTTACATATTTGATAAAGTGTGATCTTTTCAGAACTCAAATCTTGTGCTCCAAGCTGACCGCTCTCTTATCGACCGGACCCGCCGGGATGAGCCGACAGGAGAGGTTCTGTCCCTGGTTGGGAAGTTGGAGGGAACCCGTATGGGAGATAAGGCTCAACGGACCAAACCACAAATGCAGGAGGAAAGACGGGCCAAGTAGGTACCAAGGGGATGTTATATTTTCCTTCTAATCTAAAGCTCATCTTTAGCATTTGAGCAGTAGTTTTGTTGAAGTTCCCTTGGAGGATTAGCGGCGTTTGTACAACACAGTGAAAACCTCTGCAAGGTTTAAAACTTCTTTGAATTTGGGTGCAATGAAGTGAAACAAAATCCATTGATACCTTTTGTTTCTGATTCATAGATGGATGCTAATTTAAAAAAATACTTGTTTTTTTTTTTTTT